AATTCTGAATACAGTTATTGTTATTACTTAGATGCTACATAGAAGCCGCTAGTTAAACAATACCTAGATTAATTGTAAGCTACGTCATCATACCATCAACAACGTATACATAACACAATTTGATGACGGATTATCTAGAACAATTTTCAGGACCAATTCGTAACTAAGACAGGATAGTGAAAACTGAAAATGCTTTATTACCTTTACTTACTTTACCCACAGCACAAAAAAATAATGGACTTAGGTAGCTGGATTAAGCCTTGTCATGCCCTGCTTAAGTGCACAACCACTTAAGTTGATTCTCAAAGTTTTACTAGTTTCTTAATCCTTTATTTCCTTCTTAACCTTTTCTACTGGAAAGTTATACTTGTAGCACCTCCTACTTAGGCAGATGGTCTCGCAACAGCGGTGTACTGGCAGCTTTAGCGTTATTTGATTCTGGCCGCTCAGTTTCGAACTGTTCAAACCTGGAACACTAAATTCATTTTAAAATTCTAAATTCAAACTATGTTGCAACTAGTAATAAAATTCCAAACGGAAAAGTAATAAGACGCGCGATTACAGTCGCCGGCACATCAAACTTTTATTTTTTGTTCCAAAATAGAACTTAATAGAACGATGTTAGAGGCCATAATTCACCTCGATATACAGTCGTCCGTTTAAATAAACATGTCGGTTTCAATTCGCGACCTGTTCAAATGCGATGTCTTGTTTTAAATCACGCGAAGGCATTCAACAATCAACAAATCCAAGCGTCTGTCTTCGACCAATGTTTATTCGTTGCGTTGTTTTTCGTAGTACTGCTTCCTTTATAATGCTATTTACCGCGTGTGTACTATCATAAACAATTCCGCTTCAGTTCAAAGGCAAAACATGATTTGGATGTTGTTTGGTTTTTGTCTATGATTCAATCAAACTAAACAAGTGAAGGGCGAGTGCTTTCAGGATAAATAACCTAGATCAAATTGTTCCTCTCGAATTTCTACTAACTGAAGCTTTTAGCGATAAATTAATAAATTAAGAACAAGCTAGGTAATACGATTTCTATTGTAAAAAAAAAAGAATTTAAAACCTGCCAGCAAAAGGCTTAAAGAAAAATCTTTCTTACTAGATGTGGTAGTCTTAAAACGTGTCGCTAAACGGACCTTAGTGAGCCTGGATGGGGGACCACAAAGCACCGATGTACTTACAGTTTACCCTCCATTTTGTCTTGATTTTTAGGCTGATATTTTCCCTTTTGCCTTGATTTTTTCGGTGTAAAAAGCGGGACTGACCTCAACCTCAAATGTGCCTCAACTTACGGGAAATTTTACAACAGCAGACAGAAAATCATTTTGGCTTGTTTATATTAGAAAAATATCAATAAAATTTAAACCGAAAACGGTACTAAGTACTTTTAATTGTGAAATAAACTTTTAACTGGTTTTCAGGGAATGATACTCGTACTTATTGATACTTTTTTTAGGCGAATGTATGGAATACTACTTACTTAGTAGTTACTGTAATAATATCAGTTTATCTAACCAACTCTACGAGTACTTTTAATAACTAAAGTTGTCCTAAAAGTTATAAAATTATTATATGTAATTGCCTTTTATTAATAATTATTCCAGAAAAATCGGTAAGTAATCGCCTCACAGACTACTATTACGAAGAATCTAAATTGAATTCTTTAATTTTCGAGTTGAGTAGGCATTGTACTTGGAAATTGTTGTGCACATGTGGAGTACCTACCTTTTTCGATTATTTATTCTATGATGTTTTAAGGGCATTGTAATTTTATAAGTAGATAATCATTATTTCTTGTTGTAAGCTTGTCAAACTCGTTTACCAAATTTTCTTGTAAAACAATAAGTGCCCATTACCCACGTAAACCAAAAAGTTTCCAGAAATTTCCGTGAATTTCCAGCATTTTATCAAATGAAATAAACCAGTTTCATTTTACATTTGTTTAATCAAATCAGTCTTAATTCACGTAAACGTTGAAATATAATACAAATATACAACTTAAATTAGTTAGGTACGTAGCTTATAAGTTTTATTTGGATACATTAGATGTCGTTCTTAATTTAGTAAGAGAATTATGATAAAATTGATACATTTGTATACCTTACGGACTAGTTTCACATATATTTTATCATATAACAACTTATTAGATCCATTTAATAAGCTAAGATTTTACCCGAATCTACAGTTATATTATTTTTAAAATTCATTTTGTCTTTATCAACTTTAAAGTTAACAAACAGACAATAGTACATAGATTTTTTGTTTTCAGAGTAATAACTATTACTGTATAAGTGGATCATTACATTCTCTTATTCATACAATATTTTCACATGAAAAAATATTTACACCTTAAAACCCCTGTCAAACAACGAGCGGTTACCGACATAGCCCTCAATACAATGAGCGTGGTGTAAGTAAGGAAAATAGCATAATACAATAGCATTCAGATCACACCACGCGCTATTCCATGCCTTGCTCACTGTTTCTCAGGAGCTTATTCATAAAAACTTTAAAGTAAGCAAAGCTTGCGCTATGCGGAAATGATGAAGGATTAACATGTATAAGATTTTAAACTTTCGCGTTCCATTTCAACTAAAATAGTAAGGCTGGGTTGCACCGTCTTACTTTAACTTTGACAAACGTCAAAAATCTGTGAAACTCCATACAAAAAGCACCGGTTATCGTCATAGTTACCGTTAAAGTTAGGTGGTGCAACTCAGCCTAAGACACGGGTCTTAAGGCGACGTTTATTAATGAGTTACATTATGTACTCACGGCTTGACGTTACCACAAACGTTACGACTGCGATGTTGCAGCCGTATTTGAAGCCCGCCCGAACGGACGACGCCGCGAGCCGCCAGTCTGCTAGTGACCACGGCTGCAGCATCGCAGCCGAAACGTCAAGCCGTGAGTACATAATGTAACTCATTAATAAACGTCGCGTTAAGACCCGTGTCTTACTATTTTAGTTGGATTAACATGTACTTAAATACATTAATAAAGCGTCCATGACTCAAGAACCTTTTTAAACATACTCGTACACACATTGTCTCGTCCATAGCAGTATTTGAACCCTCGACTATGTTAAGCAAACCACAAGAGCAGTGACTAGTCACTTACAATCGTTGTTGAGTTCAAATCGCTAAAATCGCTTACATCTAAGGTTTTATAAAATGAACATAGAAAATAATGCTTTATGAATTACGCCCGTATTCACATACATTACTATAAGGTCTCACAATACGCGTGGACGCACAGGGTGACACACGAACCAAGCTGCAAGTGCTGCGTCACTTAAGCAAGCATCGTTTGTGAATACGAGTGTTCGAGTCTGTCACGACTGTTACATTGTAAAAAAATATTGTCTTATTAGGGGCTTACGTATTGACAAAATTTGAGTAGTTGGAACCACTGCACTAAATCTTACTCGCAAGTGGCGACAACTGGTGAGCGCAAGACGCAACCCTCGTAATGTAGGTTTAGCGCCATCTACACGTAAAAAATATAACCCCCATCTTTGGCGCCCAACTTGTGGTTGAAACAAGAAGTATTTGGAAGTTATCATTAACATTATTAGAACGTGTAATAGCTTTGTAACAATTAATATGATTCCGTGATATAAGTAAGTTACACAACATTTTCGTGTCAAGAAATGTAGGTAACTGTAAACACAATTTGTAGGTATTGGGCCTGTGAAAACTTAAAACTTACTAAATACAATTATTCTATAATACAATCATCAGTAAATACCTACTTAGAACATAAATAATAACAATGTTACTTAGTTGGAAGTAAATATACAAGATGACTAGTGAAATGAGACTTAATAAAATATTAGGCTAATACATAAATAAATACGAGATAAATGCTAGTATTTTATATACCTAATTAAAAAAAATAATGCTTTGAAGAAGATCGAGCTGTATCAATATAATTATGAATTAAAATAAAAAAATAGGGTATTTTGGTTTAGTTCAGTATTTCGTGCTCCTTGTAATTCACACCCAACAAATAAAATCCAACCATCTATTAAATACAACATCATGGAAACATTAGAAGTAGTGGAATATTTTTAACGGTTCATAAATAACGGTACTTAGCAAGGTTTATTACTTTCCATGTCATTACGTCTAGGCCTGGAAAACTAATATTCGTTTACGAAAACGATTTCTGGAATTGTTCAGGAAAAATAACAAATGTGAAAATGTCTATAGCCTTTGCGAAGCTTCCAACTTATCTTTTTTTCTTCTATTTGATATCGCTATCTAAGATTTGACGGCAGAACTGGAAACCAGCGAATTCCATTTCCAAGTAGGCATGTATCGCATACGATTCTTAAAAATGCTATTCTCTAAGAAATTATTCTGCGAATTTTATAACTACTGGAGCCAATCGTAGGAAGTCAAGAATAATGTCAACAAAGGATGGATATGACAGAAAATCGATGACTTATTGAACGAAAAGTTCGACGAAATTGTTTTGCCTATTGGATACCAATTTTAATTACTCGTATAAATGAAGTGCCAAAAAAAACCTGCCACAATAACGTAGAATTTATGACAAGTTTAAAGTTTATGGTTCAGCTCAGTTACATAATTTTATGTAAAAACTATAAGTAATCCGAGGTAATCCGAAATCCGAAACTAGTCCGAGGTATGGGAGCGGCATGCACGAGAGGGTGCTAGCGTCAGCGAGGCTTCAAATCTCCTTCAGGGCTGTCACGTCATAATTTGTCAATGTCACCCTTCCCGTGTCACTGTCATACCTCAGTCACTGACTTAAGCGCTACACCTAATAGGTAACTGAGTATAGTTCTTGCAACTCGCGAAGGCGAGTGAGCTTTACTTGTGTGTGTACGTGTACACGCACATAACGATAGTGTAATGTCTATCAAAACTTTTGAAAAACGAACAGTAGCGAGCCACCACACATCTATAGCTCACTCGCCTTCGTGAATAGAGACAACTAAAATGTTTAATTTAATGGCCTGACGTTAGTCTATACTGCTTATAGTCTAGTCTTAGTTGAAGTGCGTGCGCACAGACAGCGCGCGCACGGGCACGTTCGGCGTGCGCGTGAGTGTCGTGCCTTGCACGCGCCGGAACGACGCGCACGATGAGCACGTGGGAGCACGCTGCAGCCTGCTAACGCCGCTGCTGCTGGTAGCGCGCCGCGTGATACCGTTCACTCCCACCATCTCTGTTGGAAAGAAAATTTATATCTATTATTTTCAAGTTATTTAGTAAATTGTAACCAAGTCTGGACATTTAGCCTAGGCGCAGACCACCGACTTTAAGTTGGCCGATAGTTGAGTCGGGCTGTTAATCAGTGTGGAGATGTATGAAAGTGCGCACATTACACCGATTTGGTTTCGGCCGATTCTTCATACTAATTAGAATCGGGCCCAACTATCGGCCAACTAAAAGTCGAAGGTCTGCGCCTAGGCTTAGGCTTAGGCACACTATTCTTCTTTAGGTCTTCACAGACAGACAAAGTAATTGCACGACTCTCCTTAGTTTTGATTTTGGATAATAAAGTCAGAGTATCTCGAATGCAGTCACTCCCCGCAAAAAGTAATTTGGACAATTACTAAAAATTAAATGTTCAATTCGAAAGTACAAAACTAAATTTCTTTTACACTAGCGGCCGCCCGCGACTTCGTACGCGTGGATCCCGTTTTACCCCCTTCATCTATCTTACGCGATTTAGATTTTTTCATTCAAATGTTTTTTCTCGCTAACTCCCGTTTCCGTGGGAATTTTGCAATATCCTGTGGTAACTAAGCTTTAAGTTTACTAAGGTACCTGCATGCCAAATTTCAAGCGTCTAACTTAAGCGGTGTAGATTTTTCATACAAAAGGATTTTCCCGCTAATTCCCGTTCCCGTGAGAATTCCTAGGTATACTATAACCTGCCCAGGAGTATGAAGAATAATTGTACCAAGTTTCGTTAAAATCCGTCTAGTAGTTTTTGTTTCTACAGGGTGTTAGGTAAATGGGTATATGAGCCGACACTAGCCCCTGTTAACATGGGCATATAAATGGTATGGTGAAGTCAGTTTGATATTATCATTTTATTTTTTTTAATTTTCATACAAAATATTTTTTTATAAAATCCGATTTGTATGAAAATTAAAATAATTAAAATTAAGATATCAATTTTCTGACTTCACCATACCATTTATATGACCACTAGCTTTCCGCCCGCGGCTTCGCCCGCGTGGAATTTTGTCTGTCACAGAAAAACTTTATCGCGCGCGTCCCTGTTTCAAAAACCGGGATAAAAACTATCCTATGTTCTTTCCCGGGACTCAAACTATCTCTATGCCAAATTTCATCAAAATCGGTTGCGAGGTTTAAGCGGGAAAGCGTAACAGACAGACAGAGTTACTTTCGCATTTATAATATTAGTTGGGATTGGGATGGGATAGTTGGGATGGGATGTTAACATGGGCTAGTGTCGGCTCATATACCCATTTACCTAACACCCTGTATAAGGAACATACAGACAGACAGACAGACAGACAGACAGACAAAAATTTTACTGATTGCATTTTTGGCATCAGTATCGATCACTAATCACCCCCTGATAGTTATTTTGAAAATATATTTCATGTACAGAATTGACCTCTCTACAGATTTATTATAAGTAGATATAGATTAGAATCCAATAAAGCCAGAGCACTTACCTACATCAAAAACTACCCACTACGACAGCTACTTAACTAAATTGTAGGAAATCTCAGACTAATGCTTGGATTCTAGGAAGAAAGCAAAAAACTTTTTGCAATAAGGTAAGTACATATTTCTTAGTACCTAGGAGGTACAAGTTATTTCTGGTCGATGATAATAAAAATAAAACTCATAAAACTCATTTATTTTTGCAAATAGGCTTTTATAAAGCACTTTAACTTGCTTTTAAAAACTAAGTAGATAAGTAGGTAAATGAAATTGTTTTATTTAAAATTGATTGAAATTGATAATTGAATTGGATTGGGCGGGGGTCGTAGTCAAGAACTTTTATTTATTACAATGGACTGCTCGTTAAACAACAACAAAATAGTGTTTATTCAATACTGAACATTCCATAACAAAACTTCTAATATCACGTAACTTTAGCACATAAAATAGGGTTGAGTTTTCCATAGTTTTCCACGCCATCTATGTGAAAAAGCGTTTTGCATCAAGATTTTATCAACGCGGAAAAGCTGTTATTTATTCCTGAAAAGTTTCCTATTAATGAAGTTTAATTTTCGCCCTATTGGTTATTGAAAATCGGCGATGATGGATCTTTTGATCTTTTCGATGATTGCTTACATTCAATTTTAATCGGCGTTCAATTAACAACTCTGAAAGTTTTATATAAAGCTTTTTTGCTGTAAAAAGGTTTTTCTTTTACAGTGCATAATAAATTTTCAGCAATATGAGTATACATTTTTGTTCCAAAATTGAATCTATGATAACTATGCATATGACGTCACAGCATCTCTCATTATTTTTTACGACACGCTTGCGTCACTCGCTTGCGGGATGGTGGTCTCGTTTAACAGATTCCTAGATTTACAGACGACGGCACATCAAGCTAGGCACTCTGGGGTCTTATGAATATTATAATAAGAGCGATATTGCAACAAAAATGTACAATTTGACGTGCTGTCGTATGTACCTACAAAAATATAGAGACTGTGATATGCAAGAGTTAGTTTGCATAAATATGATTTTTGCTTTAAAGCTTTAGACCTTATTTAAATTTAATTCTATGTGCAGTCGACAGATATTTTTTTGCTAACTTGCTCAACGAAAAAAATAAAAATATGATACCTTGTCTTACATACCACCAATTGATTTTATTTATCCTAAATTTCTTTTCATCTGTAATCTACTCTACTATTAAAAAAAAAAAAAAAAAAAAAATCTACTCAATGAAATCTATTTTATTGAGTATCATACCCTGAAGGATCCTTCAGGGTAAGTACCTAAACATCTTTAGGCAAGCACACTTCACAAGCTTATGGCCAAAACAAGTAGGTACATTCAATATTTAAGAAAACACAAACATCTTTTGTGCATCTGCGGCACTGAAGATACATTATTTATGCATAATTTTAAACAATAACTGTCAGTTGTTTAAACATAAATTCGTTAGGAATGAGTTGGAGTAAATAACTGACAGAGATGTTAGAAAATCCGATGTTTATGAACACACTATTTACAACACGCGTCGTAGTTTACTCATAAACCAAGCTATCTTGGGCTTTTCATGGTGTGTTATGTTGCAGTCAAAACTCATAATCGGTCAAAACCACCTTTGACTGCAAAAATCAGTCAAAAGTGTTTTCGCCTGATTTGTTTTGACTAACAAATACCCTTGGTCAAAACCACTTTTGACTGGAAAAATAAGTCAAAAGTGATATTGACCAACAACTTTTGACTGATTTTTGCAATCAAAAATGATTTTGACCGATGAGTTTTGACTGTAACATATAATTCGATGGGTGCCTGGAATAAAGCCGCAATAGCCATAGCAGCACTTTCCGATTAAGTGATTTTAGTAAACTGCTTGTACAATACACCTTTTGAATTTTTTTCAGAATTTTATCTTTGAAACTGCCTGATTTACCAAAAGCACTGGATATTGAATCGTTATTCCCATTCATCATTTAAAATTTGTTGACCGGAATAATCGTGCCATATACAATGTTAAAACTTTTATTTAAATCTTCTACAAGCAAACGGCTATTACTGTATCCTTCAGATCAGCGCCCGAGGCTGCAATACACTATTGCTGTTTGATTAATTGCACACTTTTTACCGGAATAAAACCACAATGGAATCTTACAGAACCGACTTTCAATGTATGAAGCGGCAATATGTATTTCTATCTTTTTTAAAGTATATTCTAAGCACTATAACTTTATGCACATTAAATGTTACTCCAGAAAAAATAACGCATCGTTTGATATACAAACTGTTTTGATACGCCTCGTAGTTTAGAATTATTCAAAATTGACACTAAATCTCTTCTCCTGTAAAATTGTGTTTTGTCGATTGTGGCTTTATTCCCGGCACCCATCGAATTATATTTCTTGTTTTGCTGGCATCTGATACTTATGTATTAAAACGAGTGTATATGCCCGACGCCCGTGAATTTTTTATAATTGACTCCTCACATTTTTTACTATCTCCGTTTATAATAAAAGCACTTAAATTTTTGATAGGTACTAATTTTCATGAAATATACGCAAGGGATACGCAAAACAAGTTGCACAATGTAAACAAATATTCTCACAGGGAATTTACAGGGTCGTATCGTAAAGTAATTATGGGGCCCAGAGCTTTGTTCCTTTAATGTAATCATAATAATTTAACAATGCCTTTACCCTGAATTAATCATTCAGACACCATAGGTCGGTATTTTGGTACTCTCGTAAATACATTACGGCTGGGCGACCCATCCGCAAGTGACCGCCCGAATTATTCTAAATACTTATTCATGAAATATTTTCCCTTAAAAGCTTTTTTTGTAATTTTTTTATACCTAAATACCTTTTTAGACAAACTTTAAAAGTGAATAACAAGGAAAATAATACTAAACCGTATTATATTTCAAGTTATTCACTTTTCAAGACCGTGGTTTTATAAGGTGTTTTCTCGATTATTTATCATGAATATTTGCAATATTTTGGGCGGTCACATGCGGCTGGGAGACCTTGTATAGCTCCAAAAATGTAATTCTCTGGCCATTTTAAGTAAGATTGTAAGATAATAATTTAGGAGAATTTTAAGAACCTTCGACTTTTCTAAGAGCAGTTTTTTAGTAGGTACATAATTATACTTGTCAGTTCCCTACAATCCTGCTCCCTAGACTCTCCTAATGAGACGCTGAATACGCTACGTGAGTATTATACATTTGTATAACTTTTAATATAATGTACTTTTAAGCACAAGAACTACATTGTTTGGGAATTCTGCAACTATTAATCATTTTCATAGTCTTAGTGTCCTCTTAATTAATGAACTTTCTCAGACGCAGTACTTACCTAATAAATTAAAGCAATACATGTAGGTGCAAATGGCAATATTATACTTACGTACTACATTCCCGAGGGGTGTGTAATGTATGATATAACTACATATCATATAATACTTAGAGGATATAACATCAAATTATATAAAATCGTTTAATATAATAATTATTTACTATAATAAACGAATAATATAATTTTAAAACGAATAATTTTAAGACAAATAACTATTAACTGATATAAAATGGTTTGATATAATGAATATTTTCTATAAAACTTACAATGTATACTATTTAAAACAAATAACATTCAAATCATATAAAAATAAAATGTCGAACAATCAAATAAGATAAAATTCTTTTCCTATAAAACTTAAATCATATAACAATAATAATTTTATATACAGTTCATTTGTTATAATAAGCATTGCATGCAGCAAGCGAGCAAGCAAGCAAGCTAGCAAGCAAACTAGCATGCAGGCAAGCAAGCAAGCAAGCTAGCAAGCAGGCAAGCAAGCAGGCAAGCAAGCAAGCAAGCAAGCAGGCAAGCAAGCAAGCAGGCAAGCAGGCAAGCAGCGCCTCGCTTCCAACCACCTGCTCCTCAGCCCGCGGGCCGCCTCGCCCCTCCGTGCCTACGCGCTTCTAAATTACACTCTAGGGGTAGGGCAGACAAGACTACGTGGAGTCGGTTTTACGGCGATTCGTTTTTGTCACTAAAGTCATTTATAAGTCAAGCTAAAGAAGAACATACTTAAAGTTATATCTATCAGAAATTATATCAATTAAAGAGTATAACAAATAATATTTATTACAAGTAATGGTTATGTGAAATAATATTTATATTAAACAAAATTACATCAAATGAGTCTTAGATTAAGTAAGGTTTATATCAAATGTCTTTATGCGTTGTGATTGGTATCTGAAATGATATTATTAGAAATGATTTCTTATATGAAGTAAACATTATATGTTAAAAAATTATATCAAGTGTTATTATAACATACGTTTATTATACAATATGAACGTTATTGAAATGAATTTATATCATATAAACTTATATAAACTGTCACGCACCCATTCCCGAGTACCACAATATTATGCTCTTGCCCGCGGCTTTGTCGACGTGGAATTAGATCAAAGCAAGTGTGCCATTCTGATGTAGTACCTATAACATTTTAAAGTTTCATCAAAATATGTATAGTAATATTTGTGTGAAGAATAACGAGGGCATTTTCCTTCATAACATTTGCAACTTATTTTTCGGACGCTTTAACATTTCTATTAAGTAAAAGTCCATAGCTGAGATGCACCGGCTACCTAAGGAATTATTTTACGTCTTTGTCTGTGTAGTGTAGTGTCGAAGTAAAGTCATGTCGATATTCAGCATTGTCGGAGTAACGTAATGTCGAAATAACGTTGTCGGAGTTTATTTAGGTAGCCAGTTGCACCACTTTATTTTAACCGTGACTATAACCATAACCGGTGTTTTTTGTATGGAGTTTGACAGACTTTTGACGTTTGTTAAAGTTAAAGTAAGAAGCAACCTAGCCTTAACCTTTAGTAAGGACTAACGGCCGCCCGCGACTTTGTACGCGTGGATCCCGTTTTACCCCCTTCATCTATCTTACAAATGTTTTTTCCCGCTAACTCCCGTGGGAAAATATCCTATTGTCACTAAGCTTTAAGTTTACTAAGGTACTCGTACTTGCATGCCAAATTTCAAGCATCTAATTTAAGCGGTTTAGATTTTTCATACAAAAGGATTTTCACGCTAATTCCCGTTCCCGTGGGAATTCCTAAGTTTACTATAACCTGCCCAGGAGTATGAAGAATAATTGTAGGTACCAAGTTTCGTTAAAATCCGTCGAGTAGTTTTTGTTTCTATAAGGAACATACAGACAGACAGACAGACAGACAAAAGTTTTACTGATTGCATTTTTGGCATCAGTATCGATCACTTATCACCCCCTGATAGTTATTTTGAAAATATATTTCATGTACAGAATTGACCTCTCTACAGATTTATTATAAGTAAGTATAGATAAAATGGCAAAGTGATTTGCAAAAGTGTAGGTATGTCCTATTGCTCTCCGTGACCTTTCTTTTGAACCCGTTTTATTAGGGTCTCTCATTGTTAGACACAGAGCAAAATTCCGACACACAAAAGATAAAATATATACATGAAAACCTACCAAAAATATGGCCCAGTCATTGACACGAAGCGAATACCTACCAAAGATAATTTATAATCTATTGTTTACGTAAAGATTTCTCAATCATTGACCTTTCATTATATTTCGCTTTGTGAAGTTATTTCAATTTATGTAGGAGTTCTTTGGCAAAAACTACTAAACGTTTATAGTCGTACCAAGGCATTAAATTAAATTTTAAGCAATATCATAAAAAAACCGGCCAAGTGCGAGTCGGACTCGCTCACCGAGGGTTCCGTACAAACCTGCAAGGTTTACAAAGTTCGTTCATTACGACAATCGAGTCATAACTATGGTATTTTTATTGCAAAATGAAATTCATAAGTTTATATTTATTAAAAAATATATATTTTGTAATGTAACTAAAAATTTAAGGTTTTCGGAATTTTTCCTTCGTGTGTGCTATAAAACGTTGCTTCATGCCAAATTTCAAGATTCTAGGTCGACTGGAAGTACCCTTTAGGTTTTGATTCCCTTGCGAGTACTTGCGAGTTTCAAAATATGCAGCTTAAATTGCTGTTTCTTTTGATTGCGTTGACATAGAAGTTTGATTTTGTTACAACTTAAAGGTATTATAGACCTGAGTATTTGGTATGAATTTCAATTTAATACCTCTACGCGTTTATGAGGAAATGGGTAGTAAGTTTAAAATTATTTAAAAAAAAAATATTATGTGATGTAACTAAAAATTTATGGTTTTCGTAATTTTTCCTTTATCTATGCTATAAGACGTTGCTTCGTACCAAATTTCAAGATTCTGAGTTCACGGGAAGCACCCTGTAGGTTTTGATTCCCTTGCAAGTGTCGAAAATTTGCGGCATAAACGGCTGTATCTTTTGATTGCGTTGGCTTAGAAGTTTGATTTTTTCACAGCTTCAAGGGACAGTAGACTTGAGTAATTGATATAAATTTCAGCTTCATACCTCCACGCGTTCCTGAGAAAAAGGGTCTTGACAGACGGACGGACGGACAACAAAGTGATCCTATAAGGGTTCCGTTTTTTCCTTTTGAGGTACGGAACCCTAAAAATAAATTTTAAATCGACTTAAACGATCCACCCAATTCCAACCTTTTACCAAAATTATTCGTTTTCAATTAAACTCAAGAACATAATAATTAAAACTTTATCTTGTTTAAAATCCATTTAACTATCGAAATTAAGGGATATTTAGTACAACCTATACTAATTTGCTTAAGGGTTAATCCGGCACTGGACGTGGCCATTGACGTGCCCTGCTAGTTTGCTTGGCTGAGCATTTCAAATATACTCGTAGTACAGATGACGCAGATCAAGCTAAGCATTGAGGTATCTTATGTCGTTGTAATAGGCTCTGTTTTACAACAAAAATGAATAATCTGATAAGCTACAGTTCCACAATCGGGGCCTGGCTAACATTGATAGTGGGCACGCAAACGAAAAGAAACAAAGTATAGAAACATGTTTGTGTGTGGATCATACGCGGGGGCGTTTACAGGGCGTACATGGGGTGATGGGGCATTCGCGGGGCTTGCGCGGGTCTTTCAAAATTCCTCGGCTCAGCACAAAACAATTTGAATATAAGTACCTACTCGTAATTATAAACATTTTTTTGAACAGTAAACAGGAAATTAATTAATGAAATTTAGTTTGTTTATTCAAAACTTTATTTGACAGTTTACTGAATAAAATATTAAGCGTGTTAGGTACACCTAAAATAGGTTGAATATAAATTTTTAGTCAGCCCACATTACAAAATCAAACCACAAATAATTAACAATTTAATTAATTAAAACCAACCCTAGGGATAGATTCTGATAACGATTTAACCACTTTATGGAAACTGGTGGCCATTATTAAGGAAAAGATAAAAATTACTGAAATGGGAAAACAATAACATAACTCAAGTGAAAGATAATTTGATAAGGTAGTTTTATAATAAGGCAGTTAAGTACCAGGTACTCAATAATAAGGGGAAGTAGTTTGATGTAAGAGTGGAATTCCTCGATTCAAAAACGGTAAATTATGGTGAAAGATAGAGACAACCAATATCTTGAAACACTGGGCAGAAAAAAGTATGCCGATTCAAATAACGTCGTTATAGACTTGGCTTGGTTCATTAAACAGTTTTTCTCTTTCTAAATATGCTGAAAGGCAGTTGATAGACTTTTAAACTTCTTACGGTAGCCGTTAGCGAACCAATTACTAGGACTTTACAATTGGTTCAATAAAAAAAACAAATTGAAATAACTTATAGAGTTTATTTTGTAATTTTGATTTACAATTAAATAGGATGTGCAAAATGTGCATAAGCACATAGAAAAATGGCAGAAGAGACATGACGTAAGTCTAACTATTACGGTAGCTTTTTCTGTATATTCAATAGACTGTAATTCTACTAACGTGCGTGCGCGACCTGTCATTGGCCTATAATCGCGCCGATGACCATCTGCACGCGTTGTTGGTGTGGTTGAAGCCTAACTGCTTACCTGACATAGGCATTCCGTCGCACATGCTGTAACGGTGGCAGGACTGCGAGGGCGGGTCCACTCGAACGCGGAACACCCAGCCTATGGCCTGGAAATAAAGCACATTTTAGTGTATTATATCAATAGTTGTAAGTTCCGAATGTTCACAAAGTAAAAATTGTAATATTACATTTTATTATATGAATTCATGTTTGATGACTTTTTTATTTTTATAAATAATCCAAACGATCAAAGGCAGAATACTATCCAAAGGATACCATTGTTAATTTAGAAACATAAATGTTAGCCTAAAGGCTGAGTAACTAAGCACCAACTAACTTTAAAGATAACCATCATTTTTATGGAGTTTCACAGATTTTTGACGTTTGTCAAAGTTAAAGTAAGATGGTGCAACTCAGCCTTTAATGTTGACTCTGTATATATTCAATTTGTTCTATGTTATTTTAACATGGCAGCAAAATAAATGTATTCTATTCTATTAGTTTTAAATGGCTTAATGGTTTTGTGTCCCCAACCAGTCTGGCCAGCCTGGGAAGTGTAGGAAAATCTTTCAAAGAGGATGGTGTTCTGGCAGTGGAAATGACATGACGTCATGTTGCTGACGATGATGAAAATATATTTTATTACAGGCAAAAATTTAAAAATAGAACAGAATAATAAGCGAAGCATTTTCATTCAAAAAGTTTATTAAAGTCGCTTTTATTAAACGTTGCCGCTGTGTCGCAGTTGTTGCATAATCTGTTTAAGTTAGCCGAGCATTTTAAAAACCAATTCATTTTATAGGAAAAAGTTGAGATTTTTAATACATCATGTCCCACATCATAGGGAGGGCCGATTTCGTGTATTTATGTGAAGGTTACTTACAGACATCGTGCAACAATGAGCAAAATTGCTAAATATAAAACGTATTTTCTTTTCATGTGTTTGACAGAACACTCTAGGAGAGTAAGTATAAGAATTTGAAGCTAGCTGAAGATGTAGTAAGAAAAGATCACTAACTCTATCTTCCTATACAGATGCAGTTATTCTTTTCAATTCTCAAAGAGGTCTGCGCCCATGCATCATTCATCACTTACGCCCGTATTCACAAACGTTACTATGAGGTCTCACAGTGCGCGTGGACGCACAGGGTGACACACTAACCAATCACAGAGCTCTATTCAACGCTGTGCGTTCGATTTGTTGCTTCACTTAAGCAAGCATCGTTTGTGAATACGGGCGTTAGTGATTCAATGGCTCCAAGAATAGCACATATTTCACTTTTAAACAATGCTATTCCGCATTTCGATGGCACTCAATTAGACCATTTTATAAGAATTATGTAATATTTCTACTCAAATTTTATAAATACGATAGTTAAATTGCTATTTCTCTAAAATGCCATTCCAACTACTCACTGGTGCATTTAAAATAAACTCTTAAAAGCATTTAATTGAAGAAAATAAGCACGCCCCAATGACTTTCAGCAATTTTCTTCAATGTACCAAAGCTTTGACTGTTATTGAAGCAAAAATGAAATCTTAGTTTTATTTAGGTAAAAGTTTCATGATTTGGTTAAGAGGTCTAGTTGTAGAAAATTAGGATTGCCGGAAACTTATTTCAAATCTTGTATCAATAAGAAAATAGGTAGGTATATTTCAAAATCCATGGGTGAAATTAAAAAAAAAATTGTGGTGGATTGACCTGCTAGCAAGTCTACATAGTATTTCTATAAATTCCAATAGTTTATTTATATGATAAAAGTAAGTAACTACCTTACTTAAATATTATTTGAGAACAATGATTTTCTTATTAAGATACGTAGTACTACGATAAGACGAACTAGTAATACGATAAGTCCTATAATTTATGAACAAAAATAAAACAATAACTCCTAATTCAAGTGTATTTAAATGAAGACGTACCTAAGTAGTGAAACAACAAAACATCAAACTTAAAAATAACTTCAAGTTCCGTTTAAATGCATTTTAACTAATAAGACTCACTTGCAATGTCTGCGTTTCGGTCGATCCCTAATGAAATATCCCAGTGATTTGAGAGGATGCCTTATTTAAGTCACGGGTACGACTTTAATGAAAATAGTATTGTTTTGTCTGAAATGCTCTCATTTACTAAACAAATCTCCCTCCAGAGAGGAGTTCCTTTTTTTAAATATATTTTAATTAGAGGTGTAACTCGCGCCACAGCTCGCGCTTCCATGTTCCAAATTACACTCTTGGGACGCCGAACGGCGCGTGCTTTTCATTTTTAAAATTAACACATTCCACAAGGATGTGATGAACATCGTTTATCTTATTTTATAAACTTCAGCGGGAAAAAATGCCACTTTAAAAAATAAATAAACCAAACTTGTGTGGAAAATGCAATATTTTTAGATATCTGCCTCTCTAGAAACTATCCTCGGGCACAATAAAAAGGACAGAATAGTTTTGAAAAATCCTCGCACGCAGTTACTAGTGCCGTCTAGTTTGTGAACTGCAAATTTTAATCGAATTTTCAAATAAATCGGTGCTACCGTGACACTACCATATCTACTAGCAGTAAATTATTGAGTATTGATCTGAGACTAATAATTTTAGTTGAACCAAAAACTTCTGACTCGAGAGTCTTGGAGGCTTTGACCACAGAGGTTTTTTTATACATCAAGCAGTATTGCTCTCAAAAAGCTCTTAATTTGTACCTGTTTAAAACCTCTTCTGTAGCGCGTGTTCATGTAGCAGTAAATGATGGGGTTGTAGCAGGAGTGCGACATGGCCAACCAGTGGCTCGCAAACCACACGTACGGCATGCCCGGCCACGACGCCCAGCTGATCTCGTCGCTGTGCACCGACCATAGGATCTGCAGGCAAAAGAGACACTTATTATGCAATCTATAGAGCCTAAATCGGTGAAGCTGATGTTGATGCTATGATGGTACTATCTCAATTAATTTCGGCTAATCAGGAAATATCTTTTGATGCTCATAAAGCAAAAAAAAGAAAGCGCAACACATAAAGAACTTCATAATAATACTAGTGCCAGGCCCACTTCTACAAGAGATTTTGATTATGAGGCATTTTTTATTTTAATTCTTTATTTATTTAAATTAGACATGCAGTCAGACTACATTCAATTAAATTAGGTAAGTAATCATAAAGAAATATACTATAACAAATAAAATGAAGAAAGACATCAAGTAATCCGAAAATAGCATGCACAACATAATCCACTACAATCACAAACACGCATCTCAAATACGTATTAAGACGCCAACGATTCCTTAACAATAGTTTGAACCTAATAATTCAATTAGATTAATACGCGTCTTGTTTCCATCAGCTGCGACCGCATTCAATTTAACACAGACTTTCGTAACAAAGTATTTTTACCAAAAATAGCAGGTAATTTATTTATCAAATGAGATGAAAGAGAGCCTCTCTTCTAAATGAATTGGACTCGGTTAGAGTTTACCAACAGACAGTGTAATTACAGTCAATTTGTCATTGACAGCGCCAGATGGTCACTGAAAAAAAGAATATTTTCATATTATTAACTGTTTGTAGCGAAAACGATTATTTCTGTTTGCAGTCTGTTAGAAAATTGGATTTTGCGAACAGTTTCTATACATAAAAGATCGTCGTGATTGCTACGCTACTTCCACAGGTGAGGTATGTACTCGTAGGTATTGACCTGAATTATTTATAGGACTACATCGAATCAATTTCGGAAGCAATTAATGCTACACATACAGTTTGTGTAATACTCGTTTTAGTTTGTCATAATTTAAATTAATGGATCGTTGATTATGATTTCCGCTTAATTAATAGTGACGTTGGTCGATCAGAGCAAATATAGCGATAATAAAAAAAATTAAGATGCACAAAAAACAGTTTGTTTGTTTATTTTCAATATTACAACACCATTATTTACATTATGTTTATTGCACGATTATAATTTCATATGTTATATAACATTGAACATCACCCATAAAAGAGTTTTAAAGTTACTCGAATCGTTTCTGGATGGATTCCAGCAGCGTTTCACTTCCGTTTCACAATGTGTGACTACGAAGGTCGCCGAATAAAGGTATATTCACATAAAATCATGTTAAACGACGTTCCATGACCTTGGAGTCTATGGACCATAGATTTGTCCATAGGAATCCATAACAGAGTTTCTTCAATGCTTTATGTGTTTGTCTACAATTTAGTGAGATTAGATATCTTACATCATTGAAAGTTTTGTGTCACTAACGCCCATTTTCACCATGAAAACAAAATTTCTGATAAGTGTTACCATGGGACACTTAAAAATTAGGGATTGATGGTGAAAACGGGCATAAGGCTGAGTTGCACTACCTAACTTTAACCGTAACTAACGACAATCGGTGTATTTTCTTTGGAGTTTGACAGATTTTTGACGTTTGTCAAAGTTAAAGTAAGATGGTGCAACTCAGCCTAAGTATAAAAAGATTCTACTGACTGAAAAAGCAGGAATGTATAAAAAGAAATAAAAAGAAGATAATCTCTTTTGGAAATGTAAAGTTTAAATGGTGGAATACCTACTGATGTGTTGTGTACCTAGCTATTAAAGCAATAAAATCTTTCGAAGGAATTAAATCCGATTTGACTATTTTTTGTATTTTATTTTACTAGCCTATACCTAAGTGCACTCGAGCGCAAGGAGTGACACAATCTCTCCGCCCCCATAGCATTATGAATATACCCTTAAAACTATTGGCAATCGAAAAAGTCTATAAACATCCCAGGGCAATCACTTCTGCGTTGATGGATAGCTTGTTACTATCCTGATAAATAGGTATGTAATCTCACAGATCTGTACCAGAGTGGTCTATTTTGGTCACTCGTGCGTGAGTAATAACTCAAATGCTGACTCACAATTCAAGTTTTATTTATATTTTAGCGTGTATCGGTATTTAATGCGAAGCAAGACGGGTTAGAGTATTAATTATGTTCTTCTTCTCGTTATCGTGTCGACAACGAGCCTACACAGTGTCAGCCCAAAACTCCGCTACAAGAGTGGTGTTCTCAGCAGTATTCATTAAATCCTCCTGCATGCAGTTGCTCGGGCACTCAGGGCACGCAACTGATTAATACTCAAATTATCATCATCATCATTTCAGCCGTAGGACGTCCACTGCTGAACATAGCCTCCCCCAATGCTTTCCATGTTGATCGATTGGTAGCGGCCTGCGTCCAGCGCTCAAATTATACTCGTTAGCAACATTTACATTAATACTCGTGATCATGTTGACGATTAGTTAGCAGCATGAAAGGTAAGCTAATACTGATGATGACAATGAATTTTATATATTTTATTTACTTATTTATCACATTTATTTTTTTTAACCGTTACATCATTTATCTTTGATTAATTTAATAGTGTCTTAAATCCTTTTGAGCCTCCAGACACTATTGTTCTCTATATTAATAGAATAAACGTTTTAGTGAAACTTTATTGAGAGGTAAGATTTTTAAGAAAATTACTATTTAAATATTAATACTTAATCAAGCCTTAGCCTCTAAATTGGAATTTGTTAGTGTAGGTGTTAAACTAAAATCACAGTATTATTGTAAAAAATCTTCCATTACCTAAAAATATATTCTATATTCTGTTAGATCCCGAAAGGCTCATATTCCAGGAAATACTAAATGTGTTGGTTTACGTCACCCACTCAATTTCTACTCAATTTTTTGTATTAAATCCGTGTGCTAATAGCTTTTTACTAAAATGCTATCTAGCGTTAAAGGTTCGCCCGCTCTTAATTTTCTCTCAAGACAAATATGTTTTCTTTTCATTAGCCAGACAAGATAGACCAAAAAATATAATGAAGTAATTAAAGCTTCAACCACAACGCGTGCAGATCGCCATTGCCAGCGCGATCATAGGAAAATGACAGGTCGCGTGAACTGTCATGGGTCGCGCGACCTGTCATTGGCCTATGATCGCGTCGGCGATGGCGATCTTCACGCGCTGGTGTGGTTGAAACTTAATTAAAGCTTCAACCGCCAGCGCAGTCATAGGCCAATGATAGGTCGCGCGACCTATGATAGTCCGCGCGACCTATGATAGTCCGCGCGACCTATGATAGTCCGCGCGACCTGTCATTGGCCTATGATCGCGCCGGCGATGGCGATCTGCACGCGCTGGTGTGGTTGAAACTTAATTAAAGCTTCAACCGCCAGCGCAGTCATAGACCAATGATAGGTCGCGCGACCTATGATAGTCCGCGCGACCTATGATAGTCCGCGCGACCTGTCATTGGCCTATGATCGCGCCGGCGATGGCGATCTGCACGCGCTGGTGTGGTTGAAACTTAATTAAAGCTTCAACCGCCAGCGCAGTCATAGACCAATGATAGGTCGCGCGACCTATGATAGTCCGCGCGACCTGTCATTGGCTAATGATCGTGTCGGCGATGGCGATCTTCACGCGCTGGTGTGGTTGAAACTTAATTAAAGCTTCAACCGTCAGCGCAGTCATAGGCCAATGATAGGTCGCGCGACCTATGATAGTCCGCGCGACCTGTCATTGGTCTTTGATCGCGCCGGCGATGGCAATCTGCACGCGCTGGTGTGGTTGAAGCTTAAGTAATTAAAACATGCAACATTGACACAATGAGTACTTGCAATAAACACGTTGAGGGGCAGCCAGCAGATCGTGAACACGGCAACCACGGTCACCATCATCTTGATCATCTGGAATACAATCAAGGCTTATTTACCTTTTGGAATAAAATCTATAAACTATTGAACAAAATAAAACTGTTGTTCATCATTATCATCATCTTCTTCATCATCCTCATTATCATCACCGCCATCATTTCAGCCTATAAAAGTCTATTGCTGGAGGACGCTTTTCCAAGGAGCGCCGCATAAAGCACCTAGGTAGGTAGGTATAGATGACCCACGCTGAACTGTCCCGCCAAACTCAATGACAGGGGGGCGCTACCATCGTTCAACTATATGGTTTCCAACATGGCAAAAATCTGAACCAGCGATCCGGTATTGACGGTGGCGCCCCACTGTCAATGTCATCGATAGGACAGTCCAGTATTTTGGAACTATATTAAAGCGATATCCGAAGCCTAAATCTGAAGTCTCGCTGACGTTTGACGTCAATGACAACACCCTCCTGAGTCGCTCCCATACCTCAGGCATTGGCTGAGTTATGCACTGGACCATAATACCTAGATAGAACCATAGATTTAAGGAAGGATTACTCAGAACCCTTATATACAAACGGTCCTATATGACGACCGACCGACCGAACGGTCCGATGTGACGGGAAAATTTTACTTAAATTAAATATCAATGTTTACTATACCTACCAAGTTTTCAAAACCTAATTAATTATCTTTCAATGAGTAATAAAAAATTCATTACTCTCAAATGAGCAAGCACATGCAGTTTGATCAAAGGCAATAAAATGGTTCAAAATGTGCATTTATTACTGAGCCAGATATTGAAGTTCAATCTAGCCAGTATTTAAAAACTGTTTGAAATTATTTTTGGTTCGGTATCACTTTTGAAGCTCGTTCTAATAATATTTGATGTACGCCTTGAATGATTCATTTTATATTTACTTTAAAACAATTTTAGTGCCGAAACAACTTATAATAATAATAGAAAATAGCACACTAAAGACATTAACATATCATTCAAATGGGTTATAATGTCCATTATACCTAATTAATTATACCAAAAAGCATTTCTCAGATATTTAATACCCACACACAAATAATATTGAATTTATTAAAATGTTTCCCTTGAATTTTTTCGGATCCCACTCCTACTCTCGTATGCTCCAATAACTCATATAATTTTTATAAAACAGCGGCTGAAACAAAACTTTGAGAGTGTTTTAAAATGTAAAAAAAATCCGTGTGCTTTCTCCACACTCATGTGGCATTAGAATGCTCAGTGAACTAGCAGTGACAACTTTAACGACAAAAAATTATGTAGTTGATTGTCGCCCGTAGGTATATTCACAAACGATGCTTGCTTATGTAAAGCAGCAAATCGAACGCACAGCGTTGAATTGTGCTCTGTGATTGGTTCGTGTGTCACCCTGTACGTCCACACGCACTGTGAGACGTCATAGTAATGTTTGTGAATACGGGCGTGTGTGAAGTTTGCGTGTTGGATCAAATCCATGGCCTACTTTTTACTCGTCAAATCGGTAAATCTTGGTGCTTACTCACTTCACATAATAACTCGTGTAAACTTCATTTGTGGACACGCACACAAACGCTTAACAATAGCGCCAGCAGCTAAATTAAATTTAATAGACATTACATGATATGACTTTCGCAAATTATCTCGAAGAAAATGTTTGCTTTTCATTAAGACTGTTTCATGAGAAGTGCCGATGTGAAGAGAGAAAGATCTGTTCGCAAGGAAATGTGTTAAAAATATTGTTTTTGTAAAATTGTTTCTTCATTATTACACTCGTTTGTTTCTTGTGTATTCAAAGATGCCTAAGTACCACCTTGCCTTGCATTTTAAATAAATCCGACGATCAGATCAATTATTTTGGATAGTTCATTGACTGCGCTATCCAAACTCATTGCAATAGCGCGCTCAGCGAATATCACACCAATAGGGATGTTTCCTGGGTAAAAAGAAAGAGTTTGAATTAGTCCGTCAATTAACTTATCAAAACATAGTCGACACAATTTTTTTTTAAATTGAAAGAGATAAAGCGCACCAAATTTCAAAAGAAGAGGCCCGTGACGTCAATGCATGCTTAAAGTTTAGCACTTTGTGACGTCACGCGGAACTTCAACGTTACTTAACCTCGTAAATACTTGTTTGATTGAACAATAAAAATATACCTGTCCAACATTTTTTGATAATGTAATTGACGGACTGAAAGTTTTGTTTAGGAAACTAGCCTATTATGACGTAACTTACTTTTCTTTTAGACCGCTGCATACGCGAGTCCCTTGCCGACTGCGCCTCCCCAGGCGGGCGGCCGCCCCACACGACGTGCGCTATTCGCGCGTACGTGCACACTAGCGCGCTCAGCGGCAGCATAAACTGTAGCGCCAATAGCGCGCACGTGTAATGCTCGCTCTGCTCGGGACGATCCCACTGTTCGAGGCAAATATCCCTGTGAACATTTTGCGGCTTATGTTATGGCTATTGTCTTTTGCTGTTGCTAATGATGGCTTTAAGATCTGGGACAGTTCACTATAGATCTGACGTACATCTCTACTAAAGAATAAGACTCATTATGCGAATTAAAAATTATAGTTACCCAGAACCTGTCTTAAGACAACGTGACGTAACGTGAAAATGAATGTTCAGATAGACCTGTAAATGGCTGAGGACAAATAAGGAAAAGTTCAGAACTCTTTAGCACTGGTGCTTGAAACTTTTTTCTGGATAAAAATACCTAAGTTTATGCTAATACTTACGTTTCGCATATCCGATGCCATTCCGTTGGCCTCTGCACCTGCGACACGATGGGGATCGGGGCCGCGGTGGCTAGGGCTCCGCCCCACACCGCAGCCACCACCAGCTTGGCCGCGGTCTTGCCCAACCGCGGCCGTAACGGGTGCATGATCACCATGTACCGGTCGATAGAGATCGCCAGTAAAGTATACGCACTCACCAACACAGACACAGCTTGTGAGAAGTTTACCACTTTACACATTACGGCCCCAAACGGCCAATACCGAAGCACCAACATCGACACAAAAGAGAACGGCACGCAAAACAACGTCATCAGAATATCACCCACAGCTAAATTCACTATAAAATAATTCGTCACAGTCTTCATACGCGGGGACGTTTGCACTACGAAACACACCAACCCGTTCCCTAGAAGGGCTATCACAAACACTATGCTGTACATGAAGTAAACACACGACTGGAATAGGGGCGATGATAGGAAATCGTCCGAGGACTCCGTGGTGCAGACAGCGGTGTAATCTGGCCATGTTGAGTTCGTAGGAGCAGTTGTGTTCGTAAACTCGTCATTTGCAGTGATGGTGGTGAGCTCAGCGTACGCCGTGCTCGTGTCATAGCCGTCTAAATCGTATTCATTGACGTCGAACATCATGCATCTTTACTTCTTTACATATCGGCACGCGCGGCGCTCCTCGACCAGAGAATGTGTTCACCTGAAACAACACAATCACTTTATAGCATCGTTGCATTTAACGGTCTATAAATTTCTTCATGATCCATCAAAAATCCATCGGATAAATTAATGACTGTTATTGAAATTAGTGAGTTGATGTTGACGTCGTAAATTACTTGTTACTTTGACTTTGGCGCTCCCAAAAGATTATTATTTATTATTAGATTATGTATGATAGCAGAGTACACAAAGTACTAATAAGGTCGTGGATATGATTAACTAATTAAATCTTGAAAGTTCTGTACAAAGCTTTGTGTGTTTCTTTAGCGGCCTAATCTTAAAAGTTACGCTGAAGCCTGGCTTTTAAAAATGTAAATAGAAAGTAGTATAGGAATCAAAGTTTATACTAAGCACTTAAAAGCTCATGTCGTTAACCATTAAAAATGAAAAGAAAATGTTTGATGAAATTTTCTAGTGAATTTAACTGCTCAATTTACACTCACTACGATTCTAATTTACCCTCATTATTCAGGAATATTTTCGTAACAAGCACGGTCTTCTTAGCCTATTTCTTTTGAGACACTATTTATATGGATAGTAAAAAGCTCGGGGTAAAATATAAAATATTCATTTCGTTTAGGCTTCGTATAAACAGAAAGTGCCAGTAAAGGTTTTAGTTTAAATATTAACCATTTAGGTAGAGTTGTTTTTCACTATATATTTTTTTCTATTTCTCTTCCACGAAGTCATCATTATTAAACACGTTGGACGCCACGCGGCTCACCGGTGAGCCTCGAACAATACAATTTCCATTGTGTCTAGCGTCTCGGCGTTCAATGACTTAAGTGCCAGTTTAAACAATTACTTTAATCATTTGTGACAAATTACACTTGGATCATTGTTCCTCATTCGACTTTTCCTAGAAACTAAAAACAATTAAACAATGTTATTATGGATTGTAACAATTTGAGGTGTATTTTCGTATCGCACGTAAAATTTTGAGAAATTCGTAAATTTTTCAGATAAACATTACAGGGGGTCTCCTCTCGGAAATATTATTTAAAGTCACTGTTTCTTTTACACTTTTACACACTGTATGAATTAAGTAGATTTGCTCTTGATCTATTAGCGTTACTAATATTATTCACCATACATAGTCTTTCACTAATATTTTGAACCGCCTACAAATCCGCAGTCACTACACTCAAACATAGCACCACTGGACACGCTAGCTTCGACCATAAACAAGGGAGGTCGCTAATTTGCAGATGGATAGCTCAGGGACGGCCATACGTTTTGGTCGGCTGAACTACCATAGTATAAGAAATAGTAAATCTACTCTAGCTACAAATAAAAACAAGTATACTGCTTGGCGTAATGTGGGCAAGCCTCCTACTAAGTGAACTGACGATCTGGTAAAGGTCGCGGGAAGAACCTGGATGCGGGCAGCGCAAGACCGTTTATGGAAAGCCTTGGGGGAGGCCTTTGTCCAGCAGTGGACGTCATTTGGCTGAAATGATGATGATGATGCTGCGTGAGCCACATTGTGTATCACAATTAGAGATGAAACGGATAGTTGTTTGGCCGGATACCGGATACCGGATATCCGGCGAGCTGCCAGGCCGGATAGCCGGATATCCGGCGGCCGGATAGTTGGCCCATTGTCTCGTTTGATATCGTGACGAGTTTAGCACGATCAGTGGGTCTAGTAGACTAGGCAAGTCACACTTTTCGAAAATCTTATCCGTCCGAATAGAATGTCAGATTTTGCCACTTGTCTAGGGGGCAGATCAATTCGGGCGATTTCGGTTGCCATCGTGAGTGTGCAATTGAATAGCGAAAAGTAAATTAGTTTACTTGCTGCGTAATCTGACTGAACTGCATCATGTATAGCCTGACCAGGAACATAAAAACCCTCGCCATGTTGCGGAAAACTAATGGTACTAATTTCTTTTAATGGCAACAGTAACTGAAAACTTCATTGTCATGTCACCTTGCATGTCAGTCTATTGCTGTCAAAGTGTAAACAAACTTTATTTTAAATGTGCGCAATTGATTTTGTGAATTAAATTGCTAAAATCTTTTTATAGTCGTGAAAGAAAAATGGTTTACAATGTGTTAAAGTATTTGTCGAAGAGAAATACTAAGGGTTCGGACAATATTTTCATTGAATAATGTTTCCGACAAAGGTTGTCAAATTGACTGACATGTTTATCGCATAGTACAGTCCACTATGAAAATTAGTTGTGGTTTGTTTCAACTACCTATTTTAAAATTTTTTGTCACTTTCTAAGTGTTGAATTTTATGGAATTGGGAAAGAAGTACCGAGTTTGAAGCGTTCATGAGCAAACATTGCAGTTGAATATTCAAGTTCTGAATTTGATTATTGATGAATAATAAAATAAATCCTACTAGCTCGATTGATGTTTTCATTTAATTTATTTAAACCAGGTTACCTATAATAATATTTTTTCGTTAATTCATGAAAATATCAAATTAGCCCGTAATCCTGAATCCTGATACATAAAGTTAGCCTATTAATTTAACACAGGTACGACTGTACTCAGTGTTGCACTATCAAATGCAATTGACGCGCCTCTATGCCAGGGTTTTTATGTTCCTGGTCAGGCTATAATCAGACCATCAAGAAGATCACCTATTTTATTTGGAAATATTTCGACATCTATCAGATATTTACTATTTATTTATGTATTCGTCATTAGAATGAATAGCCCAAAAAAAGAAATTAGTTTTTTGAAAGGCCTAAATATGCCTTTTTTGTAATTTTTTGGACTTTAAATAAAAGCCGTTATTATTATAAGCCATTTTATTGGTATTTACCTCAAAGATTAATGTATTTCATTTTACTATAGGAAATTGTCGTCGTTGTTTTTAATATCCGGTATCCGGCCGGATAGTGAGCTACTATCCGGTATCCGGCCGGATAGTAAATTTAGGCCGGATATCCGGCCTACCGGATAGTTACCGGATATCCGTTTCATCTCTAATCACAATCACATGGAGTTGTTTAGTTGAAATGATTTTTTTAGGATTTAGGTATTGAATAATCACTGATGAATATAAATTTTGTATACGGCATACTCTGTCGCCAGACAACTTTCCAACTTTAACAAGGATCGAGATAACGTGAAAAAACATACAATATTGGCTTTAACCACGATTATAATCGTAATTATTAACCACATTTCCTTCACCAAAGATATAAAATTATCCTGTCTAAACGACAAGATTGTTTTGAATGACGAGGATTTTCATGTAGTGGTTGGTATAAAGTAGTTTTACTTTTCTCTTTCACTGTGGTTCCACTCATCGCATACATTTCCCGCCTAGATGAGTATCATCCCGTTAGATATAATTGGTTGATCTATTGCAAGGCAAATTGACTTTGCAACTAATTATCAATGTTGTTATTGAGTCAAAATTCGATGATTAAATCGGGCTGAATTTGGTATGTTATAAAATCAAGCTCAAATATTTCCAGGTTGCGACTACGTTGCAAAATCTGTATTTACAAACCAACAAATTTAATTAAAATGGACTGAAACTAGCAGCAACTATGAGTAAAGCATTAATAATGTTCATAAATTCCAGTTTTTCGGTCTATGAAATAATAAATAAATGCTGTAGAAACTACTTTTAAAACTACTTAAATGTAGGGACTGCTTATTTTTTATTTATTAGACACAACCTCCAATAAGCTAATAAGATTTTTATATTCAGCAAAGGAAAAGGAACTTAATACTTAACCATTTGGTGGTTTAAATCCGGGTCACATTTTCCAACTAAAGTATGGATTTATAAATACACTCATAAAACTAAATCGTGCGTTTTATTAACTAAACTGCTATTTTGTCTCTTTTCTTAACAGGAAAATCAACATTTGAAAGAAAGTGAAAGCATATAAGATAAGAGTATCCTTAGACTGTTTTATTTTTCATGAATATGAGATCAGACAGGTTAAGAATTTACCGCATTAGGTATTTGAAGACGTTTGGTGACTTTCTTTCTCCAGAATAAGTATTTTATATTTATTCAGTAGAAACTGTGGGACTCCTCAAAAAACGATTTGGATTTACGACTGTGCTTTGAGTTATACGACCGTGCCTTTCTTTAAGAATTCGTCTTCATTGTTTATCGAAATTGTGGATAATTCCACGTAGAAACGTGAACGTTCGAAGCGAATGATAAAAGAAAAGTTTACGAGAAAATAATCGTTGTAAAAATGACTTTGGAGTAGACATTATCAAAGGCAAAACGTTCGTTTCTTCAAACGATATGAAAAAGGGTTCAATAAGGGTTGAATACTGGGGTTCAATGCGATTGATATCACAATATATCGTTTAAGCTGAAGCCAAAGAGGAATGAGGAGCGGGTATCTTTTGGGAACGGATAAAATGGCCAAGACCGAGTCACATTTTGATAAAGTCACACATCGGTTTTGTACATTCGACAACATAAGTATATCAATCAGATTAGACATAAATACTCCTATTACTACTAGGTACATTATGATGTCTGCAGTATTTACCTTCATGTTCTATCGTTCGTGCATAACTTAAGAACGTAGTAAAGCGATCGTATACCAATTTGTCTAAGGATATAAAATGTTTCCATACCTCGTTATTGCACCAGTCTTATCGTTTTCACGAGCTCCATACACGTACGAGTTAATCTAAGTACCTATGTAAATATGTGTAATAAACAGTTTTATGTTATTTCGTGTCACCTACAAAATTTACAACAACAACAAACGTAATCATTTCTTTGAAAAGTAGAATTGCAATAAAGATTAACTGGAAGAATGAAGTCTTCTAAGTACTTTATTAACGTAAAACTTTTAACGATATGTACGAATTTGTACTTTTGCTTATTAAGGTTTCCATGGAAATTTTCAGCATCCGTGCATTGCAAAGAAATATTTGTGCTCGTCGAGTGACTGCTCTGACTTCTGAATTATGGAGATATTGGTAAATTAACAAGCGAAAGGACGTGGTGGGTTCAATTACCAAAAAACTTGAAATAATCTAATTAAGTAGGTATTTCAAGTTTTCAAAAGTGAGCTTGAGTGTCCACGGCTGAGAGCGATGGAAAAGGCATTGCTCTTTCACACGTGTCTCATTTTCTATCACACACAAATCATGTTAAAGGCTTATCCCTAAACGGAAAATCCTCTCGATTTTCATTACAATCATAATGGACATTTCTGTCGCAAACAAAAAGGAACGGTTTTGGAATTAAGGCTATTATTAGGACCGACGTCACACATCAAAGCGTACGTGATTGTTAGCTGTATAGATAGGCTTTGATTGTGTTATCGAAGGATGTAAAAACTTGATCAATTCATTATGTAGGTTTAACAATCGTCTGGGTCAGTCCACGAGCGATTGTGATGAGTACACGTGGACGTCTACAACAGACGAAAGTAAAGCACATTATTATACATTTTTGTAGCTAAATCGCTCTATTACATCTGAATAAGATGCCTACATTCTATGGAAAATACTACTTATATGTATTTCCACCGCTGCCCACAGTTATTTAGTGTCAAAATATTCTTGGACGATGATACCTAAAGAATACTTTGATGATTAACGCCCGTATTAACAAACATTACTATGAGGTCTAACAATGCGCATGGACGCACAGGGTGACACATGAACCAATTACTTGTGCAATTACAGAGCTCTATTCAACAGCAAGCATCGTTTGTGAATACGGGCGTTAATAAAGTACGTTCAACAAATACTGATATTTTCCTTTCAACAGATCAATGAAAAATTAAGCAAACCGCAGTTACTGTATGTATAAGCTGTATTCAACAAAGCTGTAAACAGAGTCAGTCTTGTGTGTGAAATGCAAATACGTTGCAACGGGTTTTTAATTAATCTCATTGTTATACAGCATGATCAAATAAGGTTCTTGGAGTAATTGTTAAACTAGAACTAGTTTTGCCGTAAGCTTGGCGCGAGTAAATATTTTTTTCGTTAGAACTTTCTCAAATATCTAGTCTCATTTTCGATAATTGAAACTAAGTACATTTAACGAAATTAAACTCAAGAGTCAGTTCCAAAATACAAAGAGCAGGAGTTAATATGTAGCAAAAATAGGAAAAAAGTTTTGGAATTTTAGATAACTTTCTAGTTTCTAGGTGCTGTGCGCACTTTTCATCTATACTTATAATAAATCTGTAGAGAGGTCAATTCTGTACATGAAATATATTTCCAAAATAACTATCAGGGGGTGATTAGTGATCGATACTGATGCCAAAAATGCAATCAGTAAAAGTTTTGTCTGTCTGTCTGTCTGTCTGTCTGTCTGTATGTTCCTTATAGAAACAAAAACTACTCGACGGATTTTAACGAAACTTGGTACAATTATTCTTCATACTCCTGGGCAGGTTATAGGATACTTAGGAATTCCCACGGGAACGGGAATTAGCGGGAAAATCCTTTTGTATGAAAAATCTAAACCGCTTAAGTTAGACGCTTGAAATTTGGCATGCAGGTACCTTAGTAAACTTAAAGCTTAGTTACAACAGGATATTGCAAAATTCCCACGGGAACGGGAGTTAGCGGGAAAAAACATTTGTATGAAAAAATCTGAACCGCGTAAGATAGATGAAGGGGGGGCAAAACGAGATCCACGCGTACGAAGTCGCGGGCGGCCGCTAGTTTTAAATAAATTGAAATCTTTTTCTTCGTAAAATTCTAAGAAAGCATAAGAAAAGGTGATCTCTTCAATGATTGCAGTGTACAGTCACGATCACAAGATTTAAAATTGTATCGTCTTTTTGGACCACCCTGTAGAATTGCTATACAAGGATAACCAGAGCGTCTGCTCGCAACTAATCTGCATAAATTAATTTACTTCCACTTTTTCTGAAGGTTTCTTTGATGAATATACAAGTGACTGGTTGCACGAGGGACTTATTTCTACAGGATGTTCCGGTACGTCTCATGAATATTCATTCATATTTTGGTAGATATTATTTATACAAAAAGCAGCTGCATTTTAAATTCGATACTAGTATTTCTTCTTAAAATAAGCACGTGATATCAAAATAAGATCTGTATTTTTTTTTAATTTCGTTTTTATATTGGCCTGTACTTCGATTATTGCTTATCGCTTCCAATCAATCTTTAGGAGCAAAACAAAGTCAAGAATTTGTTTTTGACTATGACGACATTACTTGTCTTTTATCTATAGCAATATAATGAGTATAAAAAGCCATAATCAAAGCGACTTTAGTTACTTGTCTAGTTTAGCTATTATACAGGATATAGAACTCGTGGCTACCTATTTCGAATTTCCCTAAGGATGTATAAGAAATTCCCATCATTTGTTACAGTTTTTGACGGGTAGGTACGAGAAGAAGGTAATTTTCTAATCTCCAAGGTAAAATATAACAATACATAGACTTATTTTTTTTATGTAAGACAAGGCAGGTATTTGACCGCAATCGCACCTGGTGTTAAGTGTGATGCAGTCTAGGGTGGTACATATCTGCCTTATTTATAAGTGCCTATTCACTCTCGCCTTGAAAAGGCCCGGATTATAGTGTTCAAAAAAGACAGCAGCAGGCAGCGAATTCCAGTCCCTAGCTGTTCGCATTATAAAAGAGTTAGTTGAACTTGTTAGTTACCTATGAGTTATCATGACGTCAAATCATCCTATAAATTAATATAGGCTAGATAATCACATTATCTATTTATCAGTGGCAAACTTCAATAATGCGCACATAGAGTTGGTCTATTGTGTGTGCGCTAGGCAACCAAAATCTTTATCAACAATATTGGTTCCCTGTGTAACTGTGATGTAACAATGAAAATAAAGCTCTTTTCGAAACTATTGACCAAAAAAAAGTTATGGATTTTTTGGCAATTTCTGGTTGATTAAGTGGGAATACTTTATGTCCTGGCCATAACTGACCATCATTTATTATAACCAATTGCAGTCTACAATGAGAGCCAAAGAGCATTCTTTGGGTTTTCTCCTTCAGTCACAGTCAGCCATTTTCTTAATTGGCATAATCTATCTAATTGGCTAAGTATCCTTATTGTAATGTTTTCAACCATGTTAATTGTTAAATTGCTGTTGAGTTTCTCAATAAATAAATAAATGTAAAAAATACGAAAAGTGTATTCTTGAACCGCCGCTGTTAATAACTGAGGATTACGATAATAACACGTGACACAAGCAGTGAAGTAGAATATTATCATTATTCTCGAAGTAAATCCAATGAACGAGCATTAATGAGGGCTATCGCGTATGAAATCGCCGCTAGAGGCGCTTGTGTAGCGTGAGGTTTTCGAAACGTCAAATTAATGTCACTGTTTGTGTATGAGTTGGCTACGCGCGCGCTTTTATATTTCTAATTAAATGAATATTGCGAGTATTAACAATACTTTAGATTAATTATGGCAAATACAGATTACGGATCTATGAATGTCTGTGCTTTAAAAGTGGAGTTAAGAAAAAGAGGTGCAAAATTAAACGGTCTGAAAGAACAGCTAATTCAGAGGTTAGTTTTTTTATATTTACAAACAATATCTTGTCTAAAGTTGGCTTGTTTATCCAGATTACAGCTGTGTTTTTCTAATGATTTTATAATGAATATTTGGTGGCTCTAGTGACATGTACACAAAATAATTTGCATTTTTATAGGGAACAAGTCCACTCTGAAAACACGAAGGCATTGTTATATTTTATGAGCATTGCTTTTGAATCTGATGGAAAAAGTGTTCTTTTGACGTTGATAAGCTCTTTCGGCACTTTTTCTTTTCATCTCCTTTCTCTCTTCACTTTCATGATTCCAGGAAAACAGACTAGGCACCGCATTTGGTTTCAGTTTAGGAGTAGCTGAAATGTTTTTTTAACAAAAAATCAAAGTAGGTATTTACTTAAAAACTTCTCAGTTTCAAGGTTCGGGAACATCAAATGGTGATTGATAATATTTAGGAATAAGAAAAATCATTAGGTACCTACTTACGATTTTCTGTATTTGATTCTTTAGGTAATAATAATCGTCAAAGTTGAAATGCTTTTTACAAACACGTGAATGTTTAGAAGGGACGTAGTTGACCCTGCGAATCGCTATTAACCATTGCTTTGAGATACTTTTATCTTTCGGAAACTTATGTCCGCCTTTCTTTTCCGAGCAAAACGGAACTGCGCAAGACTGTGGCATGGCCAATACGTTTACATTTTAGTTCTAGGGTGTTAAATATGATCTAATCATCATCATCAGCCCTTTACAGTCCACTGCTGGACTATGAGCCTCCTTCACTATAGTGGAGGGTTTTGCCATAATCTCCACGCTAGGCAGGCGGGTTGGAGATCGCAGTTTAAAAGATTGATGTTTTTCAGAGAGCGCTGCTGCCCATTCTCTGTTTGATGTGTAGTTCCTAAATATGATCTAATATAATCATCTAATGAAGATACAAGTTTTGGCGCTCGTAATACGAACTTTGACAGCCGTAGTTTAGGACCTCACGCTACAGTGGCACCATCTGATGAAACAAAAAACGATAGCCCTCATTGAATCACCATAGTTACAAATGAAATTACGACCAATTTTCCTGCAAAATTCTTTGCACTTGAGTAAAGGACAATGTTCGTTCTCCATACATTGTTCGCCGTTAGATCAACAGTGCCGAAATAATACTTTCTAGGTTCTAAATGACACAAATCTTTATGTAAGAACAATTATTCCTGGCGGACCAATTCTATAAACTTATTGATAGCAATATTGTTATCATAACCTCTTACTTACTAGTATTGTATTATATTATTTTATGCACATCGATTTGGGAGATGTTCTGTATTGTAGTTGTCGCAGCCAAATTGTATTATAATATTGGACGGGTTTTGGAAATAGCTCGGCGTTCCACTTTTATGATTTACTTACTTACATTTTGCACGTAAATAAATAACATGAATCCTATGTTTACTTTCCACTCTTGACATTTAACACGTGACTTACCAAACTAACTATCTCCATGGTTACCGTCTTAGTCTATGCATGACTAGGGATTGAACAACTTTTAATTGAATATTATTAACAATTCTCGATAATTATTATCGATTGAAAAATATTCGGTATTTGAATCGAAAGATATATTCAATTTTATCAATATCAAAATATTCAATTTTAATAATAAAATAAATATTATTTACTACCACCTATGAAATGTTCTAAAAATTGCCTGGAGCGCTCCCCCAATCCTGGGTTTTCCCTTTCCAAGCTGAGAGGATATCATTTTGGTTCTATCGATACATTATAAAGGTACTTAATATTTGAAATGTATTACCAATTATTGTTATAAGCATTTTGAGCGAATAAAACTTTCAATTCTATTAGAACTTTAGACATTTCTCTCACTTTAAGCGGCATTGGATTTTTCATCGAATTTTGAAACTGTAACAGATATATTAAAGATGATCCCATATTGTTGTCATTGTCTATATCAGTGTTATGATCACAATTCTTTTTATTTTATTCATGACCTTCGACCAGTTGGACACATTAGATAGCTTCTTGTAGTATCGTGCAATATATTTTTAACTTTTAATTAAAATCTAGTCATACTGTAGCAATTTGGACGATTTATTTTATTTACAAGATCGGTATCTTATTGTCTATGATGAGCGCAGTCAACATCACTATTACATGGATTCCTAACAATGAAGTACGGCATTGCCTTGTGCCGATTTTACATAGATTTTATCGACACAAATTATGGAACTTCATAGGATATGGAGCAGGCCACGCCCTAAAATGTCCGGATGTCGTCATAGTATTATGGAATACATATAAAATACTTTTATTATTTCATTTTTTAATCCTCAAGTGTCCGTTACAATCTAATTAATATTTAAGTATTCAAAAAGTAAGAGATTAATTTTGATACTTTACTGCTGTGCCCAGGAATCTAAGGCGGTTTCTGACAATGTCCTTTTCTTCCTCATACCGAACATTATGAATAAGCACGTGTCCGGGCCGACTTATCTCTACCGTCTTATAGACGAGGGGCCTACTGATTTATGGTTTGACTTAAGCTTAAAAGGATGACATCCGTCAGGCCCTTTGAGTCTTTATTAATCCGCTCACAATTACCTGGCAAAAGGGATCGCCCTCGTTATCTGTGAATAGTCGTTTAAAGTAAAGATGCGTATTGCGTAACTTTACTATGTGGGTTAGGTATGCCTTATTAATAGCGCGAACTCAGGCTCTGTGTAAGTTAACTGTTAACTCACTTGTCTAAATTATAATTCGCGCACAGCACAGGAGCAGGATAATTGGAAAAGTGGTGTTATTATGTAAATTTTCCTGAAATACAGTGATATGTGCACACACTATTAAACCAGCGATAATGTACGATCTAAACTTTCGCGTTATCTATACTTTATATGTCAAATAAAACTGCGTAATTTAAAGTAAGCTTTAAGAGCTTGTATGTAGCTGCTCCACAGTTACTGAGTTGAGTCCATCCGAACCCTTTCAGTTTGATGTAAACCTGAAGCGAACTGAAACTAACAACTTACGTGATAGTGCCTGAAACTGCAGAAATTAAGCCACTTCCTGATTGTGATTTTGTGAAAAATATTATTGGCAGGTAGCTAATTGCTCAAAAGATATGCCCCTTTAAATTTAATTTCGTCGGCCGTTTGGTGTAGTGGTTCGAAACGGACTACTATTCCGGAGGTAGCGGGTTCGATTCCCGCACAGTACAAACATTTGTGTTCATGAACATATTTGTTTGTATTGTGTTTTCTATGTATAATAACTATGTATTTACAAAAAAAAAGTATTTAAGTATGTTTATATCCGTTGTCTAGTACCCATAGTACAAGCTTTGCTTAGTTTGGGACTAGAAGCGCAGTGTTAAATGTCCAAGGATATTTATTTATTTATTATTTAATTTAATTGATAATTTATTGTCCGTGATGCATATCTTTTCTTAGAGGTTACCCTTTATTTGTCACCTGTCATCCGCTTTGCAATGGAGGGAAGATATGTTGCGGGTCCAATGACAGTTTAACTTTCCCCCGGGACAAACTTGACCTTCATTGGTTGGGTTTTTATGACGGTCAAGCTGTACATCCTGGCTACTCAGGAATTGCAGCGGTGGAAACGAGAGGTGGAAATAGTGCCGTTCCTAATTGCTTCGCTACCTGATTGTTAAAATTGAAACTTCCTCAGGGAGCATGACTATAAATTGTGTACTCGTACCATGTTTCATGCTACAAAGCTTTAAGCTATCATCTACGTTAACTCGACTAAATGGTCTATACAAAGCTGGATGCGAATCAGCGAAAAATATACCCGAAATTAAGGAAACAACGTTAGCAACGAAGCAAGCTTTCACTGATTGAACAACCCAATGACTTAGAATCACATACCTATTAGATTTCCATTTGGAAATAATCCATTTGGATTATAGTGTGAGAAAATAACAGAGGCCTAATTCTTAGTTAAGCTTCAAAATTGCAGGAGTAAAGCTGATTATCCAATTAAAATACGATTAATAAATACGTTAGCTTTCTAATCCGCACGCTAATCCGCCATCAAGTTTTTGCTGTATCAAAGTTTTCTTACTTCAAACGGAAAATAAATTGTTGGTTCCTCTTTATACGACTCGGGAATTGGGAAAACATAAAAATTATGTAAGGGAATTGTGATCAATCAATCTTTTTTTCATATTATGTAGGTTCTATCGTGTGTTGTATTGTACTTTTTCGAGCGTGGGCGTCTTTAATCGCCCTGAAAAGAATGGGGTGCAGTAAAAGATAAATTTAGGCAATAACCTAAAAAAAGAAAAACATTTTGTTCTTTTTATAACTTACCCCAAGTTATAAAAAGAACAAAATGTTTTTCTAAGTTAATAGAATTATCCTATCTACTCATTTGTTTCTCTACCTACCATACTTATTTAATAACTGAAAGAGGTAACTGAATAGAATGGCTGCTTATAGGTACTATCTATGTTTCAGAAACACGGGAATACAAATTTTTTAGAAATATAATTTAAATTTCATTTTTGTCATCGTTTATGTATGTGACAAAATCCGAAAACCATTTTCCAATAAATTAATCTTTAATGAGCTCCCAATCGCCCGTTTCGGCGTAAAATTCAATTATATTAAAAAGGTGTCGAAATTTTCAGAAATGAAAACAGATGGAGCAAAAAGGTGGAGTGAGGAAAGGCCCTCTACTTATAACTTGTAAGAGGACCTGTCAGCCACTTATTACGATTGGAATGTGGATAACGGGATCGACTAAATTAGATTCCTACGGTTAATCGATAAAATAGAGTACGGTTGAAGTCTCGAATAGAATTAAGGAATCTAAGGAACTTTATTAGATCAGCCTATGCGTTTAGGCTTACCTACTTAGGGTGGATTCGACCAAACAAGAGTAAATATTAATCTCAGAATAAATCGTCAGTTTTGACTTATTTCCCATACTGTCAATGTGCCAGTTATACCAGGAGTTATTCTCGGATAAAAGTCTGGTCGAATCAGGCCTTAGTCTCTCAAAAAGGCTAAACGTGCCTCGAATGAAACTTGGTGAAGTGTTTCAAAACAACGTTAAGCCTAGTTTATTGGCAGATACTTAGTGGTGAACTGATGACAGAGTTTGTAGCGCTTATTCTCAACACTTGCGAAATATTTGTCTCAACTGTTTGCTCGTCTGCTAAGGCACACGTATTAAGTAGGTAACCAAGTTAAAATTTAGTTACCTACTTAAAAACTTAACGTGTAAATCAGCCTTTAAAGGCCTATTTAAACTTTTAACGGCTAATTATAATTATCTTCTTAGTCCTCTTTTTCTTTTAAGTGTTCATATTTTAAAAGAAATGACATTTACACGCAAATGGCGTTGGTACTTCCTACACTTTTGTTATTACATGAGTCAATAAACATGTCACCAAACAATGCGGAGTTATATTAAACATATAGTGATTTATTATAATTTAAACATTGTAACCTCCAACTTACCATCCCTGACCACATTATTTCTCACCAAAGTCGACATGTTGGCATTTTGCCGCGACAAAAACAGGTTCCACCCGGAATACTGTCGACACGGGAAAAGCTTTTGATTGTCTTAGTACGTGCTCAGCTTTTAAAGCTCAAAAAGCTCACTTACAGTGCGACTGTTTCCCTCTATTATAATAAACAAATGTAGGCAGGTACCTATGTTATGT